TGGAGTAATTTGGCGATTGTAAGCGCCTCTAGTCAAATTTAATTTTTGACTAAATGAATTGGTACTTTCCCTATCGAGTGCAGAAATCTGTTTCTTCTGCAATCTTGTCATCAAAGGATGTCCTGAGAAGTTCCCCACTTTTGTTGTAACAGGACACGCGTTTGAAGAATACATTATAACGCCACTCAGTGTAGTGACTGAATAAACAAAGTACCAATTTAAAATGACTTTTCTGCTCACACTATCAATTGACTAGATCCATTGATAGCAGAACAGTTGGAAAGTAGGTTAAACTAATTCTGGGTTGAACATTTATGCTCATGTCCTGCACAGTTTTTCAGTTTGTCTACATGAAAGTGGGGATTCGCTCCACTCGATTGTCCTGCTTATTTGACCAACTAAACTTTCCGGGACATCAGACATCCAGAGTGGATGGGTCATTGTTAATGTGCCTGCAAATTTCCACCAGAATGAATGATTGTGCAACAACTTGTTCAGTGTGACTGGCTTGCCTAAGTGTAGTACATCAGGGTAAGAGGTCCGTTCAAACCAAATCTACCTTCAACTTATTGGAGTTGTTTATGCTGTTGACGACATCTTCAAGTACCCTGAATTTAGAGTCGCTTTTAATATTGGTAAATCAAGCTTGCAGACTAACCAAGAATGCCTGAGAAACAAAAACGTGTGCTTTTGCTCAATGCACTCTCTGGATTGGTTGTACGTATATGCATGAAACTAAATTTAGGTGTCTGGTATAAAAATGGTACTAAATGTAGCCAGAAAATATTCGTGTTGCAGCGGTAAAGCAGCCCTGTATATTTAGCATCTCACTGAATTACTGTGAGATTCGCAATGAAACATGTGACTCACAGAGACAAATATCTGAGTGATGCTGTGAACTGTGTATTGGTATTATTATTGGTGTATTATTGGGATATCCTTATAGAATGTCTGTCTAGAAAAGAATTTCCGCCCATGGAGGAATTCCTATGGTTTGATTCTACTCTCCTTATTGAAGACCTCGAAGGAGTTGACGCTTTTTGTAAATGATTTTGGTCGCTCAAGTGATCACGATCGATGGGGCACATTTGAATCCTTCGGTCCAAAATCATTCTCTTCATGGTCCGCATTTTTTGAGTAACCAGGACTACTGGAATTCCAGTAGAACCCTTTCTCCAGGGGGACTTTCGTGTTCAATTCTGGCCAGTTCAGCAACAGATATGCACCTAAAATTTCCGTTCATATATGGATCCATCGCAAAAAAACCAAGCATAGGTCCATGCCTGAAGTATATGGAATAAATTTTCATCTCTAATTGTGCCGTGTTAGCTTTGGGCAGTCAGACGAATTAATGCTCTGTATGCGGTGCCAGAGTGTGTCTCATTTTCGCTAACCAATGACCGTAAAACAGCTTCGGCACATTTTAATCAACCCATTACTTTTTGATCGCCTATTCTGCATACTCAGTCCAACTCCAACCATGGCATGAGCTTTGGGATTTGTGCATGCCACCTCTCTGTGGTCACCTCCTGCTGTCGATGGGTTGACTTATGCTCATGCCCTCGGGCGATGAAACCCACAGTAAAGTAGTGAGGCTCAGTATAGCTGGACATTGGGACTGATAATAACGGTTAACAACGCCTTGAAGTATGCATCTGCTGACCCATAAATTTTTCTCCAAGTGCAGGACAGATTATGATCCGACCGACTAAGATCGCTGGCACCTCAAATCGCATTTGATCCGTGCATCGGGAACGATATTGTGAATTACCTTCAAACATTATGAGTGAAATACCAATGAGTGTCTATGACGTTATGTGTCCTGATTCCTTAGTTGTCATGCTTTGTTAAATTTGATAACTTGTTAGGTGGACAGATTAGATTTAGACGAATTATTCTATGTTGGGAACATAGTTTTATAGTGACCTTATAGTGACCTATTGCCACCTTCGGCAACGGCCATTATATCGCGGCTGGAAATCCTAGCCAAACGGGTTGTTTATCTTTCTATTCAGGCATGCGTGCAGTGGCAGTATCCAGGCCATCACGCAACTATGGCACACGTCAGGAAAGTTCATCTCATGCAGTATGAACCATGACATCGTGGAGGAAGTCTGGGCGTCCTCTTACCAGCGTATGGAACGATGCATAAACGAAAAGCTCCTTTGGCACTTCTTTCATGATCTCAGTCCACCTAAACACATTTAGGCGCTGGTTCCTCCTGCTATTTCATTTCCGCCAGCAATGTCAATGACTGCCAGTATGCATCACTCACTTCAAATGCCGCATGAACGTGCCGTATGAATTAGGCCCATTCTTACTGCACACAGGTTGGTCGTTAAGACGCAGGAGATCAAGCGGTTAATAAACTGCTATTAAAAGCTTTACTGTCCCATGTACATGACTTGGAAGAACTCTCTAAGCGGAGACAGCCGTGCTGCTGGATTATATTTGCGAAGAATTTCACTGGTTACTGCAAATTTCCAAGAGGATTCATATATGGAATCTGTACACCTAACAGGTGGTTGCTCGCCGCTATGATGGCACTATGTTTATTATTCTGAGTTAAGCTTGGAATTCCAGAGAAATGGCTTGTAGTTAGTCTTTTAGTTCGCTTTTATGATACTGGCCGAGATTACCCACTAAGAAAGTATCTCTTTCATTCCCAAAAGCCGCTCCCAGATGCAACTTGTTGATGATTCTGATGTTGTTGGGGGACGCGGATGTTTTATCAGAGATTCATTCGTATGTGAGTTGGAATTAAATTTTTGATATTCTCGTCCGCGATCATTTGCAATTTTGGCGAATGACAAGAGTTTTCTGATTCGGTGTAAAATTTTTATGATGGACTGAAATAAATCGCAGTATGTGATTTATTCATATCCTTATGTGCACAGTTGAGGTTTTATGAAAACCCCTTTTTGTTTCAGCTTCCTGACAGATGTGCTAGTACAGATCCTTATCAATATGATGATCATCCACCCCAGAAAACGAAACCAAAAGTTAGATAATCACGGCCGCCTATCTACAAACCAACATCCTCCACTAAAAGCGGTGACGGCCCACACGGGCTTGTGACTCACCCACAATGATTGCAACAGTTATCTGACATAATTTTACTGAGTTACGCTGATTCGGTGTCTACTGATAGTGATTTTTATTGGGAAAACTTGTTCGGTTTACTCCCATTAGTCCTCAACAAACTTGGAGGAGTAAGGAGATCCAGTTCTCTGTTGAGCAGGAAGTAAATATGGACTGAGCTCCCACGAATTCAGTGTTTCCTCCTTGGTGATCTCAGAATGCCTACGAAACCCGTAAATGCGGAGTAAACGTCAGTAACCACTAATAAACAGACACAATGTGAGATAAGAAACGGCAGGGTAGCAAATGAACCGCGGAGGTCTCTCAAGCATAGTGCTCCGTAAAATCATAGGAATCAACCAGTTCAGCTCGCTGGTAACAAATGAGTGAGAAATCTCAACGTCAAATGTGGATTAGATGTATCTCACCGGATCGTCAGAGTTACGAGTTTGGCTGAACCTAAATTCGTGCCTCTAGCCTCAGCTTTCAAGCGGTAAATTGTGCGAACAGGTCCACTGTCAACGTTGTAATAGGTGAAATCCACCTTGTTTTTATTACAATGTCGCCCATAGTTATTAATCATACTTCTGAATTTAGCGATTGAAATCGGATTCTCCTACTTAAAAGAAGACGTTTTGGATCAAAGCCGTTGATTCTTTCACTAAGGCACATTGGGCACTTCACCGGAGTAGTGGTTACTCGTCTGGATTCATTGGTGGTTAAGTAAGTGAACGTCACTTTGTATAAGGAGCCTGAACATCACCTCACAATCAAGATTTCAGCATGCAAGTGAAGCCATTCTATATTGGAAAGGCGAGAGGTACTGTTCAGTTGCTTCATTCCCATTGTGAGTCATATGAAGTATGCATCTCACAAAACGCCAGTAGGAACTCGAACCCGAGACCACCTCCAAGTAGGTTGCATATTTGAAAGCCCGGCCACGAGCGAATATTTAGTAGTATGATGAGTTATCATTCAGAGTAGTTATAGAACCACTCAGTCTTCACTCATAGGAACCACATCACGTGATCATATAGTGACTTGTTCCACGGGTGACGACTTGTCAGAAGGAAGTTGAAGTCATCTGAAATTATTCTCGCTCAAAGCTATTCATAGATCAATCGTTGTAGGAATATTGGTGATTTTCTGTTGACACTTCATTCTGTAGGTGAAGTCAATCTAGTTTGGAAAAGTGTGCTCAAAATTCGAGGTGACAACATCTTGAATGTCTGGGTTGGTCGCAGTATGTGTAACGGAATACATCAGAATAAACGCGAAAAAACTGTCACTTAGTATAAAGTGGTCCTAATAATAAACTAACTGATACTTTGTCTGGCGTATAAAACCTTTTTTCTGACGGCGGCACCAATGGAGATATTTTATGGCTATTAATTTAACTAGAAGACCAAATGATTGCATAAGCTGCGTGCAAATGGCACATATGGGTGGGATTTGTGATTTATTCTGATTTCGATTAGTTGACGCCTTCATCTGTAATTATTCTTCAAATGCTTTCGAGTAAGGAACAAAAAACCCTTTGGTATTCCAATAATCCATCAAGCTCAGCTCAAAAATGTACTATGTTTACCCCCATGCATCTTCTGTCATCCAACAATGGCTACGTGTACGGTCAGATAAAGTACTCCCCGAGCCATCGATATAACTTGCCTCACAAGAAAGGATAGCTACCACACACGCGTCAGGGTGGATAAAAGGGAACATTTGCACGTGCGAAAATCTGTCAGCAGCACGTTTCGTGAGCATCAACGAAGGAGGCCTTGGCACATGTGATTTAGCAGAGCCCTGAAAAAAATGTTTGCACAAATGTTCTTAGTTTCTGAAGCTGATAACTCCCAGTCGACAGACATGAATGCTAATGTGAGCCGCTGCACCGCGCCTTTGTTCACCTATTCAAGTTTTTAGTATAACTTCAAAAAAACGGACGCTGCAGTTGCTTTTATCCGGTATTGTCTGCTTATGTAGTTGATGTTATATAATTTTCCAGAAACCTGTTTGAAAAACCGGGGCCCTGCAGCTTCTGGGGTAGCATCCAGCTTATAGGTCCAGCACACTTCCATGTAGACAACGTGCTGATTTTCGATTGATGCTGAGGTGATGAAACTTACGAACTAGGGTAAAAATCAATGGAATCGCGCCATATCATTTTGAGGAGTATTTGAAAAGGAGACAAGATTGCCGTGGAGTATTCTACTGACATTGACTGCAATATTCACTTGTTTTCTTGCTGCGAAAATATTACGACCCAAGATGAAGATCTCTCCTGCAACCTTTGTAAGAATTGGGCAAAAACTAGTTGTGCACCTGAGACGATGACAGCTGGTAATTCTTTGCGTGAATTGTTTATAATGCTGTCAAGCGAATACACTGGGATAACAATGTGCACCGGACTGTTTGTCAAGGAGAAAACGGGAAGTAATGTTAGGTCAAATTGTAAAAGCTCCGCACTAGCGGTGTGTGAGTTTATTGTGCGGTAATCTGCAACTCTGTACAAAGCGTCACTAACAGTGCACCTACAGCAGCCAGTAATCAAGCGTGCGAAAAACCGGTAGACACATAATCTTTTTGATTACCTTTGAAAATTCAGTGGCTGAAATCGGGGTGGTAAAAGGACAAACTAAATGTGAAATGTTTATCAAAACAACTAGGTTTAGGCACCGTGGTACAAAGATAGTGTTGTATGATTGCACTGATGCGTTTTACCTGTAAGAAAACTTTAAGGGCATTCTGATTTCAACTTATAATGCCTTGCAGTGTAATTAGTAATAGCCAGATTTCAGGTTATATGGACTGCTAATTGCGTGGTATAAGGAGTGAGACAGTGGTATGTTAGAAAAGGAGTTACTTTTCCTTTTTGAAAATGCACTGTTGTTTTTCGGAAGGGCTGTAAAAAAACGGTTATAGCTCAACGCATTCGACGGGACAGCAAGCTGGGTTTTTCAAACTATACAGAAATTCTTTGCCTGGAAAATAAAATGCAGGTATTTTACTCTTTAATCGTTAATCTGAACATGTCTCTACATGGAAGACAGAACAATATTTATTCCCTCTTAGTACTGACGGGCGGTAGTTTGTGTCGCAGACATCGGATGACCAAGAAAAGGGGGCATGTTAGGTGCCGCAGTGTGAATGCACTTTGCACAATTCAAGAGGCGTGAGATACTGAGGTTAACATCAAACCGAACGACAGTTTACCTGCAGAGTATTGCTTAAATCTGTGCACACCCAGATTGTAACACTGCTGTTAGTTCGTACATGCTGGGAGTGCAAGACAAAAAATGATTTGATAAAATCTGTACTTGGGAAGAACACGTTTAATTTCAATTTGGTTTAAGTGAATGTACTGTCGCTCAGCTAACATTCAGATGTTTGACTTTACCCTGGTAAATATGTACAGGTGATCAACCAACCGTTTTATTCACCGAGAATATGGACGCATGGGCGAAGCGGTCAGAAATTGTCAATCAATTAGGGCTACTTTCTTTTTGAGAGATAGTTGGGAGAGACGTATTTGGGTTGAAAGTGCTATCCCCAAGAGATATGGGCTTAGATTTTCAAAAAAGTTGTACACAAGATTTAGTGCCTGGATACTGCAGTGAAGTATCAGTGTTGAGCACAGAGGTCACACAGTCAATGAAGATAATTAGTGCCTAGGCTCTCTTGAATTCACTCCTACTGTAACGGGTTTTTTTAATATGTTGCCGTGAGCCCACGAACTGTAAAGTTTAACAATGGTTATGGCAATGTTTAGTCCAGTAAGCAGATATGAACTACTGACTTATGGCTACGGTTCCTACCAAATTCAAGGAAACGGAAAATTCCAGGAATGTGTTTTTGTAATTGCAAAGGGTTTTCTTGATACAAGTAAAGAAAGTTTTGGATCCAACACGAATTTAACCGATGTGTACTGAATTCGATCCTTACAGGATTGACCAATACTTAGCAAAGTCACTGACAGGATCACAGGAATTCAGATATGTAAACCGGCTCGAGGAGTTGAATGGCAATGTTACTCAACAAGCTTCATTTTTTTCCAGATTAATTTAGAGTAGAAAACTATCTAGGCCTTCTTTGAGCACTTACTGACTTTGTACGTCATAAATACCATCTAGAGTAACTTCATGCGAAGCGTATAAAAACGTGCATAGTACGAACAATTTGGTGTGAACTGTAAGTTCTGTAGAGTTGCGAGAGTAGTGGTTTCAATTCAAGGACGAGCGACAAATACAACGGTCATATTTTTTCCATGTTAACTTTTCTTTAGATGATTGTATACGTATCGAAAACACATGCGCCATATTTGGTTTTCTGCCGAATGACCTACAGAAAGTCACGCATGAACAACAAACAAGTTGTATAATTTGATACGCTAACGAGTAGAAACCCACGGATCCTAACATGCAAAACGGTTGAATAAGCGTTAGGAAAGATGGATTAGACACATTCCTTACGTATTTCAGTGACAGTTTGATTTTTCTTTCCTGAAATCTTTACCCCTAATTTAGAAGATTACATAGAGCTTACTTCAAAATGTAATCTCGGTCAAATTGAGAATTTCTCCTTGGGATCTCATTAGGCCGTCAAACACATGTATAGCACACTTGTGAGTGATGCGTTCGCTGTGGTAAAAACATGATAACTAACAAACTCCCCATCTAACGAGCAGTGAAATTATGGCATAATTGCAATTTTCAAGCTGCACAGCTCGTGCCGTAACAGTAGAAGCATTATAACTATATTTCGGTAAAGTAGAGCTTGTGATCTGTGAAATGACTGTGGAATGTTAATTTATGGCAAACACCTCTTGTTTACAAAAGTTTATGTTTAAAAATACTGACTGTGACAGCTATGATCGTGCGCAGTGAGGGAATCCTTTTATCAGTTTTTGAGACATCATTGGAGAATAAATAAGAGCTTGTCAGTTGGCAGCCATAAGCTGGTACTTTGTACGTATAACTAACCCCGAATAATTAACAAGGACCAGTCAATGTTTACCTATATATTCGTCTCGCACACCTTATTTTCTTATCACGATCCTTCAAGTGAATGTAACACAATGTCCTACAGAAGTCACTTGAGAAATTAATAATTCATTTCCAAAGTTACTAAGTTGTGCGCACTTTAATTCCCACCATATAGGCATTGTTATTCTTAATAATATATTTGCTGGGAAGCTGGGACTTACTGGGAGTAATCGCACTATAAATTATTACACGCAAGAAAAATACTGTCTTTTGATTACGATTGTTGTGGGATGTCATCCACAGATGGGCAGAGAAGTTCACCGCATGTCAGCTAACTCATGAAGTCAATCAGATCCCGTGGACATTGGTGGTAACACGCAAAAAAGTTAATCAGAATCAGTGTCCATCTATCTTCGATTAGGTATTACTTTATGCCACCTTGTAATTTTTCCAGTAGATCTGTGTCGTATAGGTGATGCCTGGTGTGGATTTGTTGCGACGTGTGCGATCATGTTCATTTACGAATCTGAGCAACAAAATACGGTTATATCTGTGATCTTCAACCGGCCAGTTACTTTGCCACCGGAAACAACACAGGTTGTTTTAGTCACGTATAATAAATGGAAGTATTGCTTGCCATCAAAATAGAGGATCCCCTTATCTACGTTGATGAATTTCCGAAATATGGCAACTTTCAGAATGTGATCCTCTATGTGATAAAATGTTCATGTTATTTAAAAGTTATTTACCACGATGACCTTCATTGAGATGTCATACTTGCATACTTGCGCACACTTGGGGGAGATGTGGTACACTGATGCTTCTGAATCAAATATTCGGGGTTAAGTCTCCAGTGAATGAAAGGCTAGTACTGACTAGGTATTGAGTGGTTGTGTAACCGCTTGGTTTCAGTTGTGAATTGGACGTAGGCTACCAGTTGCATGTGTACTATTGTAAATAGCAACTTTTGGTGGAGTCAATTAACAAACGGAATTGCATTCTTCAGCTCATGGAAACTGCGCAGGATCTAATGCGTGTGGATAAATACAAGCCTATTCAGCTGACTGGCTTTTTGGCACTTTAGTGTCATCTCCTATTTGACAGATGTCGTTGATATAGTCCTGGACGACCCCAAGGAAACCCATTTGCAGAACCGATGAGAACAATGCGTACACTTAAAAAGCAAAGAAAACATTACGGTTGCAGCAGGAATTGCACAATTTATCAAACAAAATTAGAAACATAGGGAGACCAACAGATTTTGAGGGACACGGTTCAATCCAAAAGGAATACGTTGGCACGGTAAGGGTTTGTAACATGTCAACTGCATCCGAGGCTAGCCGGTGCGAGTTGTGTCACGCGAGGAAGATTCTCCAGTGGTCGCTTTATACAAAGACTCCCAAATGACATAGAGGCATGACACGTATCGCAGCACTGGCTAGTGTAGAGGAATTCACACTACTGATAGCGGCAATAGAAAACCCCCAGCTACCCAACTTAGCTTTCTGTAATGCAGCGCTTGAAGAACAAAACAAGTGACGGGAGAAATACACCGGCCAAATATTTCAGGAAACCGCACAGGGCAAGTCCACCGACGATATTGTGTTTGTAACAACGTTGGCCCACTTTTTTGACTTCACCAGAAACAGAAGTTTACTTATTTTAAGTTCCTTCTAAAATAAGATGAGAATAAGTTGATTCTGTTATCACTGATTGGTATAACTGGTCAATAAAAGATTAATTAACCCTGTAGCAAGATCAGAATAGGGAGGGTACCAATACAATCGTGCAATTTTAAGCTCTAGGGTGTAATGTAAGGGGCAATGAAAGTGTAGCATAGAACGGTGCGCTACCTAGGCCAGTTTCAACAAGTTGTGGCATTTGATGTTGTTACTCGAGAAGGTATTGAAAATGCTCCTACCTATGGTTGTTCTGCGGTGACCGAAGGCCGGGTCTGATGTGATATATATATATTTGGCCAAACCTTATGGTGTACAGCAG